TTTGGGGCTTCAGAACCACAGGCCAGTGGATACAGACTCCAGTAACTCTGGAGCTGAATGCCCAAAGACACCAGCGAGCTGCTTATCTAGGCGGGGGGGGGGGGGGGGGGGGGGGGGGCGCTGGGTTCACTTTATATAAAGGAGGTTTTGTCAGTGCAGTTTTAATTGGTCAAATTTCAATCCTGAGTGTGGCTTGATAATATAGTTTCATCTTTTTGTAAGCTATGGATATATCTGCTCATGCCCCAACTTGGGGTGGCCTGAGTGTGCCTCAGATCTGACCCACAATAGCCTCCAGGCTCTGGTTGTTATCCAGAGTAGGAATGGCCCCATGTTTATTTATTTAATTTTTTGGTTTTGCTTTATCACTGTAACTGCCTTCCGAGGTTGAGCAGTTATTGACTGCATTTCCTCACAGGTGTGACTGAACACAGCGGGTCACTTCTCTTGGTGGGTGTAGTACATGAAAGACAAGTTTTTATTTCCTTGTGACAGGAAAATGAGACAGCAAAACTAGCATATCTAAAGAAACTGTCTCATAAAGGGGACAGTGAAGTGAAGGTATATTGTATAATGTGTGTGTGTTGGGGGGGGGGGTGTTCCGGAATGTATTGGTCCTTGGTGCTGGAGACTTCTGGTTGCCACTGCTTACAACCAGCCTCATCAACCATTCCTTCTCTTCAGTAAGGAGGTTTGTGGAAACCATACCTTTGAGTTACAGAATTGACAGCTGGTAGGATGAGTTGGCCCAAGTCCTATCTGAACAGGTGGGCTAAATCATGAACTGGCAGCCCTGTCCAAACAATTTGGCCTACCACACTGACCATGAGGTGCCACACTGGCCAGAAAGCATTAGATCCTGATTAATAATTACCTCAACATTTCTGGAAGAAGGCTAGGAGCCCCGCACACTTGGAATGTAACCCCTCTGCACATGCCTGCTCATAGCCCAACCCAGAACATGCTGAGATGCTGCTCTTCTCCTTCCCACCTCAGGGACTTACGCTTTAAATTTCTCCTCCTAACTCCTTTCAAGCAGCCAGGCCAAATTCCCCTTTCCTGCACTGGCTTCCTCATAAGCCTCTCTTACTAAGTCTTGCTTGCTTCATCTATACTTAGTGCTCTCTGGTGAATTCTTTCTCACCAAGAGAAACTACTCTTTTGGGTCCAGGATTATAACATCTTAAAGGACATGAAAGCTTTTCATATGTGTGATTCTTACCTCATCCAGATTTTGTTAGTGGGCATAAAGTGTGTAAGGTGTCCCATGTCTGATCACATGGCCCAACTGGGAAAATTACTTAACCCAGAGCTCACACAGGCATATGGATTTCTTGGCACCACTTCTTCAGGACCAGCCAATTCTGACTCTAGTCTGTGCATGGACTTTGGTTTTCCTTCCAGCCTGCCACCCAGAGAGAAGGGTCCCAAAGGGCAATTCAGTTCTTGGCATTGCCTTTCTGCTCACTGTCCTGGACACTGTCTTGGATACTGGCTTCTGTCCTGAAGGTTACCTCATGTTTCAAGATGGCAGCTGATTCCAGCCATGACTTTTGGGGGTCTAGGCTGAAAACAGAAGAAAGAAGGAAAGGACAAAAGACCATATCCAGCTATCTGTTGCCCTTTTTTTTTTTTTTTTTTAAAGATTTATTTATTTATTCATACAGAACTGGGGTACAGGCCAGAGATGCGGAGGGTGAGAGGATTCACCAGAGACAGAGCGGGGAGCAGAACAGGCAGATTGACGAAGTACACTGCTGAGGGGAGCAGCGGGCGGGTCAGGAGAGGTCTGCCACGCCATGTGGTCACCTCCGGGGCAGGCGGGAATCGAACTCATGCGGAAGCGGCTTTAGATTCTCAGTGCTGTGCTTTAACCCGCTGCGCCACCAGGGAGGGCCTCTGTTGCCCTTTTAAAGAACCTCCCTGAAGTCCTACACACAACTGCCCCTTATATATATTGGCTGGAATTTAGTGATGTGTTGCATATCTATTTGTAGGCAAACACAATGCTCCTATGAATAAAATCTAGGTTCTGTAACTGATAAGAAGTGATCCATGATTGGAAATTTGTCAGCTAAGTGTGGCAGATGGGCAGGGGAACAGTAAAGGTCAATACTTATTGAAAAAGCAGCAATGTCAGGCCCTCCTTGGTGGCACAGCAGTTTAGGGCACAGCACTGCAAGCCGGGTGCAGCCACCTCAGTGTGAGTTCAATCCACTACCCTAGAGGTGACCCACATGGCACAGCAGACCTCTCCCGTCTTGCCCGCTGCTCCCCTCAGCAGTGTACTTCATTTATCTGCCTGTTCTGCTCCTCATTCTGTCTCTGGTGAATCCTCTCGACGCTCCTGCACCTCTGGCTTGTACCCCAGTTCTGTATGCATAAATAAATAAATCTTTGAAAAAAAGAAAGAAAGAAAGAGCAGCAATGGAAGGTAGAGGGCTCAGTAGGGAGCGCAGAAAAGAATTGATTATCAAGGGACAAGAATCCAGGAATGTCGAAGCATGGGGATAGCAAGATAATGACAGAAACGAGCTAGAAGGAAAGTTACAGTGTAAAAGCGATACTAACATTTAAGATTTCAGAATAACCCATTTCAGCGATTTTTTTTTTTCAGTGATTTTTTTTTTAAAGGTTTAGAATATGTCTGAGTGGAAACTTCTGGAATTGGGGAAGATGGGCAAGTCCAGGGTGTTCAAAAGTTTGTCCCCACAGATGATGTTGACTTTAAACATAAGAAGCCAGTTAGTCCAATAGCATATTAGGTTAATTCAGAAAAGAGCAACAGAGAGAGGGCAGGTTAGAGAGTGTGTTTATGCCAAGACCCAAGAACACTTCCCAGGGCCCAAGGCTAATGAACCCCTACATCATCTCTGGAGCACCTCCTCTTCAGCTCCATTAGTGGGGGGAAATAGCATTACCTTCCAGAAGAGATGCAAGGCAGGCTGACTCCTATAGTTGGCCGTGCAGCTACTGGGTGCCTGTGTGGACACATTTTCTATCCCCGTTTAAATAGTGTATCTGGATATTCATGTTCACAATGACAAGACCTCCAGAAGGGTGCTGGGTGGTGGTGGGGATGTGTGCCAACTGGGGCCAAATCCCTGGGAAAGGCTGTGGAGAGACTTCAGGGAGGAGGTGGAGGGCACAGGGCACAGGGACCGCAGGGGTCAGCAGAGGGCAGAGGGTGAAGCGGCAGGGACTGCAGTGCAAACACTGGGTGCAGCCAGGAGGTTCTCAGACAGCAGAGGCAATCAGCCGCCCCCAGAGGGCAGCCCCGAGGGTGCCTGTGGCAGAGGGAAGGAGGGAAGTGGAGGCCAGCTCTGCTCCCTGGTGGGAGGAGCAGGCGGAACTGAAGGGAGAAGGAAGCAAGGGCAGGCAGGCAGGGTGAGAGGGCACAGGGCCGAGAAGAGCGGGTCTCCTGACCAGTGGTTGAGGACAGAGCGGGACAGGGTGGGTGGCCTCAGGGTGCCAGCAGGTGCCAGCTGCGAGCCCCGGGCCCTTCCCAGATGAGTGTCAGCGAGCTGCTTCACTGCTGGTCTCCCCGAGGACTTCCCAGGGGAGCCACGCAGGGCAGGGCGGAGGAGGGTCTGCAGGGCCTGCGGTGGCACACTGACTCGCTGCTGGTCTCCCCACAGGTGTGCGCGCTGGCGTCAGGACCCCGGCCAGGTGAGACCCTGTCCTTTAGGGGTCAGGCTGCTTGGGGAGCAGGAGTTCCCTTATGAGAACAGCTCTACCGGCCTGTCTGCTGCCTCAGGTGCCCCCAGCAGGCCAGGCCCCTCACTTCCTGAGGCCCCCCCTCCTTCAAAAAATAACACCACATAACTGAACCTGGGGCTTCCAGCACATCTGCTCGTTCTTTCCAGATTGGCTCCCTTCCTCTGGTGGCCCCCTCTCACTTTCACCCCCTTCTCAGCTTTCCTTTCTGCTTGTCCTTGTTTATCTTCCCAAATACATCTCCCTCTTCCCAACTCGTCCTTTTTCTTATTTATTGCCCCACCTGGTGTCACTCGAGGATCCACAGGCCCCTCTGCCCTCAGCACCCCTGCCAGCTCTTTCCTCAAACTCCCCCTTCTCCCCCACCTACTCCCCAACTTCATCTCCTGACCACTTTCCCTCCTCACCCCCAGCTCTTTCCTTTTCTCCACTCATTTCCATTGTTTTCCCCCTCCCCAACTTTGGCTTGTCTTCCTCAGGTTCTCTGCCAGAAAGACACCCTCTCCCACCCCAAGGCCTGAGCACCGGCCCAGAGGCCCCAAAATTGGCTCCCTTGGGGTCCATGGCAGCGCAGCGAGGGACAGGGCTCTCCAACAAAAGCTCCAGAGCAGTCCCCTCCAGTGGGCACTCAGGAACCTCACTTCCCTCAAGCCTCTCCAGGCGCCCCCTTCTGGCAGCCAAAACCCACTGCACCCACCTTCTGAGCTCATTGCAGTCTGGGGTCCTAGGGTCCCCACTAGGAGAATCTGTCCCAAGGAGGTTTTCATTTTTTTCTGCTTGGCCCCATGCAGGGGACCCTTCCAGAACAATGAGGAGGAATACGAGAACACTGGGTATAAAGGTAAGTCCCTTCTTCCTCACTCCTCTCTTTAGTCTTGTCCCTTCCTTCTTCCCCACACACCCCACCCTACACATGTGCCCAATCTCTCCCATCCCCACCCCCCACTCCCATCCCTCCCCTGTGACCCTGGTCCTGACTTAGCAGATGACTCACTACAGGAGCCCCTGTCCACCTCTCCACCTTGGCTGATCTGGCCCGTTTTGCTTTCTCTTTAGGGCAACGTACAGATCTCAGGCTGGACCCCAAGGTAAGCAGCTCAGACTAAGGCCTGAAAGCATAAAAGGGGAGTCTAGAGAAGGGTAGGTGGAGAGATGAAGGACTGTGGTTTGGGGCGGACGCTCAGGTGTGCTGTCTGCTCTAGGACAGGGGCAGCCCCCTTCCACTGTCTAATATGCCTCTCGGTTCTCACTCAGGATGACGGAATCTTCTATGCATCCCTTGCCCTGTCTGGTTCAACCTCACCAGCAACACCTCCCAACTGGAGCCCTCAGGAGGTGACCCTATACTCCACCTTAAAGGCCTAAGGAGTGAGACTGAATGACCTCCCTGGAGTATGCAGCACACAAGGATCATGGCTTCTGGCAACCCTGGCCAGACACACAGGACTCAGAAGCCAGCAGGAGCTGAAGGCCATTAAGGACCAGAGAGAAACACCATCTGTTCCAATTCCCTTTGTCTATCTCCTTAGTAGGATGTAATCTGAGAGCTGAAGTTTGTCTAGCTTGCTCAGTCTTGAATTTCTGTGACCTAGAGCAGTGCTGAGATATTGCAGGTGTTAATTATTCATTGAATGAGTGAATGTCAGCTAAGGTGCTGTTTCTATGTCCTGCACCTTCGCTTGGCGACCTGCACTCTGAGAAACAGGCAATGGTCACCTTGGAGTGATCATTAGCATGATCACTAATAATGTTTAACATTCACATCAGGGCAGTAAGATTTTAGTAGCTTTCTAGTTTTATTTTGGAGACCCTCCCTGTTTCGAATGAAGAAGCTTCGAATGAAGAAGTTTTGAACTGTAGAAGCAGCACACAGCTGGCCAAGGGGTTGGTCAGAGTTTGGCCGAAACAGTGATACTGGTGTCTACTGAAAGAGGACTGTCCTCTCTGAAATCTGGGCTCTTTGAAAATGCTGTAAGTGACCACTTTCGAGTCCTCTCATGCTGGAGAAGAGTTCTGGAAGGCAAAGATCTTTGCAGAGGATCATCCTTGGCAACAGTCCAGCTCTTCCCAGGGCTTATGGGTGCACCGTGGGCTCCTTTTCACCCACTACAGAATCCAACTGTCTGTTTCCCAGAGACTCAGGCTGCGACGCTTCCCGAACCAGCCTAAAGGGAGCTCCATGTCCGGGCACCACCACATCAGCAGTGCCTAGGATCTTCTTTCGGCTTCTCTCTTGGGCCACTGGGTCTTCACTCAGTGCCTGCCACGAGTCCTCGTCCCCATCACTTTCAAAGACATCGCCCACCACCACCACGGTGCCCAGAGCTGTGCCGGGCACCACCACGCTCACATCCCGCTGGCCCCCGTGGCCTGGTGTGGCCCACACCTCCAGGCCCGGCCCCAGCTTCAGCGGCTGCTCCTCTCCTAAACCAAGAGGAAGGTAGAGCCCTCCGGGAAGACAGAAATCGTGCGACACCAACAGAGCCGCCGCAGGGAACAGCCCCAGGTTGCCGATATGATCCGAGTGTCCGTGGGTCCCCACCACCAGAGTCACGTCTCCCGGGGCCAGGCCCTGCGCCGCCAGGGCCCCCAGGAGTGCTTCCCGGGCCCAGGGGCCCCCGGTGTCCACGAGGATGGGGCCACGGGCCGCCTCCTCCAGGGCGGTCTTCCCCTCTCCACCCCAGGGAGGCGGTTCTCGCGAGCTGGGGGTCCGGACCCAGGCTCGGGGCAGGACAAGCGTCACGGAGCCGTCGGCACGCACAGCGTCGCCGATCCCCTCAGGCTCCGCGTAGCCCTGCAGCAGAACCACCACCGAGTAGGGGTCGCCCGGCAGCAGCAGAGGAGCCTCCCCGCGCAGCGGCTCGGTCCGTACTAGGCCGCTCATGGCCGGAAAGGACTAAGGAAAGGAAGTGGGGCGGTGGGCGGCGCTCCAGACCCTCTGGGTTCCCACAGCCCTGGTACCGGCCAAGTGGTACCTCCCAAATCTGCTTTGCCAACCCCCCCCAAGGTGGTATCGCCCTCGACTCCCCTCCGAAGATGGTATCTCCCGAAGTTCCGTTCCGCGCGAACCCGCCCGTGCTCCACGCCTGCAGCCCCCGCCCCCTCGCTAGGTCCCACCACCTCCCAACGCTATCCTTTTTATTTCCCGCACTCTACCCGTAGCTGCTGTCTACCGCGATCTAGTTCCATCGCTTCTCGTGGTTTCGCCTCACCACGAGCAAAGATCAGAAAGCGGAAGCGCTTGCCGGGCGTTGTGGCCTCTGCGTGCTCCCGTAGCCCCGAAGTACGGGGGCCCGGGCGGCGCGCGTTCAGAATTTGGCGCGGGCCCCCGCATGCGCAGACACGGGCTGCGTAAAGCAGCGCCTAGAAAGTTTTGAGCTGGACGATCCCCGTCTGCTCACTTGGGCTGCAAAATTAGAAAGTTCATTAGCTTCTAATAGGATGGTGGCCAGTGGCCCTTATTCTCTCTTGACTGCTCCGACATCGGCCACTTATGATGTGTGCACGAGTTTGAAATTTGGGGCCCAACTGATACTGAAAAAAAGTTTACTAGATATATAGAAAATTTGGCACCTATGAAATTATACGGTGGGGCATCGATGAAATTAGTATGAAGTAGCGCGAGTACATCACACTAAGCGATACTAAGGTCGAGGTCTACTCGACCTTACTCCTAACCATGTCCCATTCCCCATGTCCCATTCCCTTTCTG